GGGCCGAGGTGGATGCCAAGGCCGAGCTTTTGAAGAAGGAGGGTGAGAAGCACAAGGCCTACCTCCGAGCAACCCATGCGATTACCAAGGGGCTGGAGAAGGAGAAATTCCAACTCTTGAAGGAGAAGGACGATCTCGCTCAAGTCCTTGAGGAGAAGGATGCCTCAATAGGGCGCCTCACAGTCGAGCTTAAAGACCTGAAGGAGCGCCTTACCAATGGATCTCTGCTGGAGGAGTCGTTCAGGCAACACCCAGACTTCGATGGGTTTGCCAAGGACTTCAGCGACGCCGGCTTCAAGTTCCTGATGAAGGGCATTGCTGCCGACATGCCTCACCTTCAGATCGATCTCAGTGATCTCAAGAAGAGGTACTCTGAGAAGTGGGCTTCTGGGCCTAATGGGACTCCTGGCCCCCAATCGCTGGTGGACAAGTACGTCAGGGAGYTGGACTCTGACTACTCCGACGTGGAGGAAGAGGATGCTCCTAGCCAACAGCCTAATGAGATCGGCACGACACAAGAGGAGGTTCCTTCCCAGTAGGATGKATCTCAGGAGGTTAGCTTTCTGGGCTCCCAGGGCGAGCTGTCCTCCCACCTCGGAAGTAGCTGAGGCTCTCTTTCCTTCTATCTTTATATATATATATATTTTTGTAAGTCTTTGGGCAGAGCTGCAAGGTATATAAGCCTTGGCTCTGTCCTTTTAATCAATGAAACTTCCATTTCTCCATTTCTGTCTGTTCTTTTACTGCTTTTCCCTTTAAGAATCTTTTTAAACTTACTTGTATAAATCGGAACACATGAAGGAACARATTCATCTCGCACTTCTAACTCATAACTTTTTGTAAGTTTAAAGGCTTGTGAGATAACTCTTTTCACATCGCACCTCTTTCTTAAGGTTTGAATTTGAGAGTCTTTTATTAATCTTTAATATTTCTCCTCGAACTCGGAAGTCCAAAATATAATATCAAGCAATTTGAACTTTTTTACATCGCACCTTTAACTTGAACGTTCCAAGGTTTGAATTTTAAGTTCATAATTAATACTCACATCGCACCTCGAACCCGTAGGTTTAGAGGATTGAATTTTTTTAACCTTCAACATCGCACCTTTAACTTAAGCGTTCAAAGGATTGAATTTTGGCTCGTAATTGATTTTGACATCGCACCTCGAACCCGTGGGTTTTGAGGTTGCCGATTTTAAGTCTTATGGGAGTCCGTGGCCCCCATTTAATTTCTAATAGTCGAAGCCGTACAACTCTTCATTCCCCCATTTATTGAAAGTTCCGCCCCTTGAAAATTTTTACAAGCCCATTTTGGGACTATTTTGACATTTCAGGGGTAATAGCGCTTCAAGTGCTCCGCGTTCCATGGATGCGCAAGCACTCTTCCTTTCAGGTCAGCTAGCATATAAGTTCCAGGTCGGACTATGCCTTTGACTTCGAATGGTCCCTCCCAACTTGGGTCAAGGGTGCCGACATGACTCTGAATTCTTCTTAAGACCAAATGTCCAACCTGGAAGCTTCGAGGTCGAACCCGGGCATTGTAATGTCTGGTCATTTTGTTCTAATACTCTGCCAAGCGTAGCTGGGCCATTTCCCTTTTCCCTTCCAATAAGTCCAGGTTAAGGAGTAGCTTTTCCTCGTTCTTTGTTGGCTCGTACTGTTCTACCCTGTCTGTTGGTATGCCGATCTCGACTGGTACAACAGCTTCGGAGCCAAAGGCTAGCGAGAACGGAGTTTCGCCAGTTGACTCTCTTGGGGTGGTTCGATATGACCACAAAACTTCAGGTACCTCCTCGGCCCACCTTCCCTTTCTGGAGTCCAACCTTAGCTTGAGTCCTTGCTTTATGATCTTGTTTACGGCTTCAACCTGCCCATTTGCTTTTGGATGCGCAGGGGACGAACTGAGGTGGCTTATACTCAGTTTTCTGCAAAAGTCCTTGAACTTTGCATTGTCAAACTGTTTTCCGTTGTCCGTCACAATAGCATTGGGTATGCCAAAGCGGCACACGATGTTTGTCTATATGAACGACGTGACTCTGGACTCCGTGATGTGGGATAGTGCCTCGGCTTCGGCCCACTTAGTGAAGTAGTCCACAGCGACAACGACGAACTTGGTTTGTCC